AAGGCACTTGAACAAAAAGCACAACTGATGCCCGTGCCCAGAGTCAGATCTGCAGGTGGCCTCCCCCTCTACCGGGGCTTTCCCATTGCTTGGAAATGGTGACTCCAGGTGGGCAGATCCTGGTTCCTTGGAAAGCCCTCTCAAGCATGTGCTGCTTTGCTTGCTGCTGTGAAAGAGAAAGAGGTGTGTTTTTCTGGCACTCAGTCCTGTTGTCTGCTGCAGCCTGTAGGCACTCAAGACTGACGAACTAGGTAATGTCGTTAGAGAAATGTTTTAAGGATAGACTTGGGTTGTCCTGAAGGATACTGAGGGGAAGAGGTCCTTTACTAGTACCATAGGCTCGGCATAGGTTGGGGTATGATAGCTTTGTGCTCCTGAAGTTTAGGTTTCTGTTAATCCTGGTCGATGTACAGCGTCAGAAATCTTACGAAATCTGGGTGGGTATCAGGAAGTAAAACTTGTGTAGATCAGCACATTGAAAGCCAAGGCTGCTGCTGCTGTGAGGATGACAAGTAAATCCTCAGTTGATGGATGGAGGGCTGCTTTCCTTTGGCAGTGCTTAAAGTTTGGTGCAGACCATGTGTGATGTGATCCAGTGACAGTGATCTCTCTTGTCACTGCAAAACCAGAAGACTGAAGTCTGACTTAGCTTTCACAATCATTTCCACAGAGGTGTCTTAATTTCTGGTGAAAAATGACTCAAAATTACATAACCTTGCATTTTGGGGGGGTGGGGGTTGTCATAAATGTGTGGCCAGGTCGCTTAAATGATCACTCAAAGGTTTCGCAAGAAAAGATTGGCCTGATAATTTAGAAAATGTGATTTTACAGAGTTCATTGGCAGGGTTCACTCTATTCCTCAATAAATGAATGTAATACAGAATCAAAGGCACTTTTCAGTAGAAAATGTTTTATACGGAGTTGAAGAAAAGTGTAAGGGGGGTAGTCACCAGGTTCGGACTGGACCCCCTTGCTTTCTAAACTGCTTCCCAGAGAGGAGCCCAGGGGCAGCTGGATCCAGAACCGGGCTTAGACCACAACTGCTTATGCCTAAGCAATATGCTTAGTGGCAGTTCAGGGTGTGTTCACAGTTTAAACAGGGAAAGACAATCACAGGAATTAAGCTGCTATTAGTCACTGTTTAACTTTGCATTTTCTGAGTGATTAAAAAGAATTTGCTACTGCAATCACAGTAACAGAATATTATGTTTTCAATTGATTCACACAAACACACACACTCCTATGCAGCCCATAAAATGTCCCCTTGATTTCAGTGAAATACTCACTTCAAATCAAACAATTTCTCAACGGCGAAGGTTGAGTCTCAAGGAGATCACCCCACATAGGTTGCCAGTTACTCTGAGAAGCGTCCCACTCAGAGGGAGTCACTGGGCACAGCCCGCTGCAGACCAGAAAGAGCTCAAAGGGCTTTCCTGGCTACTGCTGCTGATAGGGTCTCAAGATGATTGACTTTAGGCGCCAGTAATTGTCCATCCTGGTCACAATCCACATGATGCAGACAGCAACGATGCAGTTCCCATACTACCCAGACCGTACAGGCCTGACATTTGCCAGGTGGGTGCAACTCCAGGCATCAGTGGTTCCCGGTACAGTCAGGGAGCGCCCAATGGGCCGGACTCACTGCTGTTGTACAGAGACAAAAGAGTGCCAAGTCGCCCCGATTCACTACACGCCATCCAGCTATTCCTGCAGTGCAAGCAAGAATACAATGCTGGCTGGTTCTGGGATTGCCAGGTGTGTGGGGTGTTTTTTTATTTGCTTTGCTTTGTTACTGTATGGGTGGTTTTTATTGACTATAGCTTCTCCTTCTTAGAATTGCTTATAGAGGACCAGAGAGCAGTGGCATGCAAGCTATAAGGAATTGTTTCTTCATTATTGGAACAGTAGATAGTGGAAGACGTTATTCAGCTTTAAAATTATAAAGAATACTAGTGCTGTTCTCCCACCACAGATTTTCCAAGTTAACAGCAGCACAGTTATGTGAACAGCAATTGTCATCTGTGGAAATGGTGAGCGTAGGCTGCAATGGTATGTGATACCAAACACGTCTCCAGTACTAAGGTGGAGACACTCACTAGCTTGCTGATGTTGTGCAAGAGATGCAATGGGGACGGCTGTTCTCTTCAAGGCAACGTTGGAGGGCTATTTCGTTACGTCCAAAGCTTAATAGAGAGAGGTGTAGATGAGGGTTGCCTAGGACAGTCCGTTGCCACTGATCATCTTTGAGAGCAGGTCTGTGAAACGTCAGCATTGCAAAGTGACTTCATGATCTATGTGTGCAGGATGAGTGCTGCATCCCAATCTTAGAAATACCGCTGGATTTTGGGATGGCCACTAGCACTCCCGC